GCCCATCACAGCAGCTGCTTCCTAGAAACCCCCACAACCATCTTCTCCTGGTTCATGGCATCATCATGACTTCACTGAAACAGAGGGACCATTATTTCCACACTTTTAATAGCAATGTGCTATTGGGTCCCACAAATACCCAGGAAATAATCCACAGTCAAACCAGTAGTTCAGCGTTATTATTCAACTGACCTAAGAATTCCATGGATCCCGTTAGCCAACACCATTCCTTCAAAGTGAGGCAGCCTCCCCTCACACACACACGTGCCCCAACTCCCCATCCCCATTCAGAAAACTAAGTTCAAGAAACTCTTTTCATTAAGTCCTGTGCCTGTTCTCCCATCATTCATGAGTCACCCATTTGAGTCTTTGCTAACCTAGAATCTGGCAGAAACACCACACATCATGTGTCCTCAATGGGTCACCCACTTCTACCCTGTTACTACTTTTAAGAAGGAAACATGAAGCTCCAAACTGGCTGCATCATAAGGATGTGGGCAGAACTTCTAGGCTTTTAGTCTACATAATCCCCTACAAAGCAGGTTTCTGTTGTCCCCATTCTTCTCTTCTTGGCCCCTGATGACATCCACCCATACAGGGAACTGCTGCAGGTTCCTGAGCTATGTGCACAGAGGACAGCCCTTGGCCAGAGCGGGAAGTGGGGTCCAGAGCGAGTCACAGACAGGCCCTCCCTGCCCAGAGTGGAGGCACCACGAGGCAGGAGGAGATCGTCTCCTTCCCACAAGCAGTCTAGACTGTGGGCAGAGGAGATGAGCTGGATTCTCAGGCCAGCCATTCCCACTAAGAATAGAACTTCTGCACACCCTCATGTCCTCCTGCCTCGTTAGGCTGGCCTCCTAAATGGTGTGTGAAGCACCAAGATGCTGTAGGGGATGTTCAGGTTGGCCTGCTTCTCTCGGAGGGACCCAGACTGTGTGCAGGATGGTGGCAGTGTGGTGGCTGAGAATCCCATCTCTGGCATTGCACCAACGGAGGTCAAACTACCAGCTGAGCTCAACAAAAGTAACTATCATTTATTGAGCGCTTACTATGTGCCAGGCATGGTACTACATGCTTACATGCATTACCTCATTATATCCTCACAACCACACTGCGAAGAAGATACTATTATCAGACCCAACTGGCTTCAACGTGGAAGCTTAGAGCAGCCTAGTAACCTGCCCACACCTAGGGTGATTTGATCCCAAAGTCGGTCTTAACCGCTGCTCTCGGCCTCAGTCATACTGCCTCAGTTTCCTCATCTATAAAATGGAGATAATAATACCTAATCAAAGGTTGTTTTCTGGATTAAAAAGGATAACGTATGTAAACCCTTAGCACTATGCCTGGCACATATTAAGCACTATACTATTGTAATCCGTATTAATAAACACACTGATATCTCGTTGGCTCAACAATAAAAAGAAGGCGCCTCAGTAGGTAGGCGTTTGATGGGAAAAGGAAGGGGAGGGTTGGGGAGGAGACAGGGTCTTTAAACAGCCAAAGAATTTGAAACCCACTGGACATAAAACCCTAGACTTCACATATTCTGCCCCTCTATTCTCATAAATCATCCACATGACCTCAAAACTCCAACACTTCAGCATCCAAAGGATACCTCCTAAACTGCACTCAAAGTGTGTTGGGAAACATGGTCCCCATACAAACAGGTGACAGCCTTAATCAAGAGACAGCTCCAGGTGAGAACGGCTTCCATCCACCTGAGAGGCCGGGTAAGGCCACTGCTGGTCAACCTGAAAGGTAGGGGCACATTCAGATGGCAACAGCAGCCAGGACTTTTCTGAGAATAGGGCCCACCTTCTGCAGGGATGGGGATAAGGAGAGCCCAAGCCCAAGAGAAGGTGGGCCAGGCAGAGCCCTGAGATAAGAATCCTTCATCACTACTTGGTTTAAACCCTAGTACCCCATGCAGGTTATGGCACAAGGCCCCCACCGAACAAGAGAAAATGAGTCAGGAAGTGAGAGCTGTTCATCTCTTTAAAAACTGGAAGCTGGGCAACTGTGTGGAGGGTAATAAAGGGAAAAGGAAGTTTGTTTTGACCAAGTCAGGGAAGAATATGAGGCTCTGCCCAAGTATTAGCCACCACCTTCAGGAGCCCAGAGTTTGTTCCACCTGCTCTTTGGAGCCCAGTGTTCCAAAGCACAAGTGAGAGTCCATCTGCAGCTTACTGTCTTGCAGTGTGTCCACAAAAGTCACCTGGACATCCTCCCCACCCTGACCTCAGAAGAACAGAAACCTGGGTTCAAGTGAAATTGTCCTCCCGACTCCACCCCTTTCTTAGCACATAATCACTGTGCAAGAAAGGTGGGCCCAGATATGTTACTCTGGAAGACGAAAGACAATAGTGCCTAAGATATTACTAAAACAGGGAAAGGCTTCAGCAGTGACATACCACATTCAGTAAAGTGATGAAAATCTACTGCCTTGGACATGCATCTAGGGCTGGCTTTGTAACTAACAAGACCCCTGCTTCACAGTTTTCTGAGCAAGGACGCTCTGTCCCAAGTCATTGATACCCTCCCACTACCCAACTCTGTCGACAGCGGAGATGAACCTGAGCTTTGGGAAACATGGTCCCCATACAAACAGGTGACAAGGGCTGAGCCAAGGGCTCACTGACAGTGTGAAGATCTCAACTCAAAGATCCATTCGAATAAGGCTCCAGTCGACTCAGCAACTAGCTCAGACCCAAATCACAAGGTCTGTGTAGTCTCCCTTAAAACATATTTTTGGGATTTTCTTGCATAAAATAGGTCAAGTTACAGGATAAAAACCCAGTGGAAAAAAATTCTATAAAAATGGTTTCGAAGTCCACCTGTGTAAAGTCAAAAGTTACATCCTCCCCAATGAAAGAGATTAGTTTCAAGGGATGTGAAACTAGTTCTCATACATTATAGGGCTGTACAATACTAAGAGTAATTACATTTTAAATGCAAAATACTGTAGCTATTAAAATGCCCAGAATATGAAACAAGTTGCCTAAGAGGGTTTAACTTTCAGGAGTAAAACATAAATGGAACCTTTCTGAATACTAAAAGCAGCTAAAAGGGCAACATGCACACACACAAAAGGCAAAGACTTGGCACCCTGTGAGCAGTCATGAGCAGAGCTCCCAGGGGCTGGGGGTGCCCATCAGCCCTGGTTTCTATGACCCCCTTGTTCCACCAGGCAGGAGCCAACAGCAATTTAAGCTCCCACCTGGCTCAGGCCAGGCCTCCTGAGCTAGAGGGAAAGAAACTGCAATACCTTGGTGTACTCACACCACACTCACAAAAGCAAGAAGGGCTGGGGGACCCTCCAGGTGTCCTGTGGGTAAAGTACAGGATAGAGAGAGCCCTGACTCCACCACGCTACGCTGGGGAAGCTCCCTGCCTGGTAAGGTGCTCCTGACTCTCACCCAAGGTAAGAAGGCTGTTGTGAGAATGTAGGGATAGAAGTTGGAAAGCAAAAGTCTCTGAATCAGGATTATGCAGTATTTATGAATAAAACAAATGAGAAGCATAAAACCACACATGGAAGTGATAAACAGGGAATTCACGACAAGGAAGGGCACACAGTTGCAGTCACATTTTATTTTTGACCAAAAAAAAAAAAAAAATGGGTCTAAAGCAAGTGATGCCATTCATTAAGATCTGAATGTATATACGTAAAAATGGTTTCTTGCATCTTGTCTGTGAATAGGAGAAAGAGAAACATTGTGCTATATGGACACAAGACAGCGGTGCTCTCCCAGCTACCTGACAAAAATTCTTCATCTCCAGAAAGCATGCAGGGGAAATCAGAAAATAAAACACAGGCTGACCCTCTGGCCTGCCTGCTAGCAGCTCTAGTGAGCACTCAGCTTTGGCTTCCTAGGACCCCCCTTCCCCACCCCACCCGCCACCAAGTGAACATGAGCCTTGCCCAGTATGCTCGGCTCCCTGATCCCAAAGGCAGCCCTGTTCAAAAGCAGGTCTCTGCAGCTGGGCCCCAGCTGAGACTCCCTCCTCTCGAGGAGCCCACCATATGCCCACAATGGGACAAAAGAGACAAATGAGGAGCCCTTTTGGTATCTAGTTTGGTGATCAAGGTTCCTTCTTCAATCTGAAAACTACAGTTTCATTATCGATCACCTTTACTGTTTGGGTGTGCTGCTGAGATACCTACTCACCTTGAGGATAAGCATGTAAGGGCCTGAAAACACTTCCTGTTTGGGGGGTGCCCAGGACCTCACTCAACGAGCCTCTACTGGCATGAACTTGCTCAGCCAGAATCACAGAAGAGTGGAATTGGGAGTAGCTCTGAAAAAGGGGCCCTTGAGAGTGATGCATCCTGCCCGGGGTCACACAGCCAGTACTGAAATGAAACCCCTTGTAATAATACGTTTTGTTTTAAGGGGCCTTGGAGCTGAATAAGAAAAGCCATGAGGCTGAAATGGAAATAAAAGTTCAGCAGAAAGAAGCTGCTTCAGCCCTGCACACATGTGGGAAGTCACTCAAGGATGTGTGAGCCGGCCGGGCGCGGTGGCTCAAGCCTGTAATCCCAGCACTTTGGGAGGCCGAGGCGGGTGGATCACGAGGTCAGGAGATCGAGACCATCCTGGCTAACACAATGAAACTCCGTCTCCACTAAAAATACAAAAAAATTAGCCGGGCGTGGTGGCGGCGCCTGTAGTCCCAGCTACTCGGGAGGCTGAGGCAGGAGAATGGCGGGAACCCGGGAGGCGGAGCTTGCAGTGAGCCGAGATCGCGCCACTGCACTCCAGCCTGGGCGACAGAGCGAGACTCCGCCTCAAAAAAAAAAAAAAAAAAAAAAAAAAAAGGATGTGTGAGCTGAAACATCCCGAGGACTCCATCCTCTGCTGGACGCTCTAGAGACCTGGGCTGACTGTGCACTTTCAGGGAGGCAGTGAGGCTAATTTACAAACAAAAACACCACAAACCAGCATTAGACGACGGTGCTGAAGCAAATCATTACACCCTCGTTGGCAATGAAAACATCCATGGCACCGAATAATTTAATATATTTGGGCACCAAGTTCTCTCTCCAGCACTCCATTGCTTATTGGCCTGACAAAGAACTAATCTGTCCTCCCAAAGTCAAACTCACCCCTGAAATTAGGGAGGGGAAAAAAATCACAGTTTAAGCAAACAACAACAAAAAAAGGTCCCCCAGTACAATATAAACTACATTTAAACTGGTCACATTATATAAAAAGTGTGCATTTAATCTTCAAAATAGTCAAGCCTCTAATCAGGTTAGGTTTTCCATAGTTTTAAGCAGGACTTTGTGGTTTTAGTGAAGAAGTCATGGTACAATTGAAATCACTGTAAGAAATAAGTAACTTTTAAAACAAACACAGACACACACACTCCTCTTAAGAGTAATATATACAAAACACAGCAGCTACATGGGTGTTCAGGCAAAGGGTGCATGAACGACAAGCCCTCTGCTCCCTGCCTGATGAGAAAGTCCCCAGAAAGGATTCAGCAGCAGAAAGTCTACAGCACATACGTGGATGGCATCGTCCCTGAAAACACACAGTTAGGTGGACTGACCTACAGGAGACACTGGAGCCTAGACATGTGGGAAAGGGCTCAGTTACAGTACATTCTACTGCATACACTTGAAATATTACAGTGTGTTTTTTCTCCAGACTACTATAAATAATTTTTCGTGCTTTCTGAAAAAAATAAAAAATGAAATTTTATTTCAGTCTGTGATGAAGGTGAACCCATCTTATAAAGCAGAGCTTATTTACATTCTGCAGGATTTTGGTGTGGATGGACAGAAGGCTTATCTGGTTAGTAAGCCTCCATTCCTCCAACCTACAGAAGGCAACTCTCCTGCAGCTCTAAGCAGGGATTTCTAGAAAAGACTAGGTGTACAAAACATCCAAGCTGTGCCTCCCCCCACAGGTGGGGAAGTCCCCTGATTTGGTTGGACACAGATGAATGTCTGTGTTTGACTGAGCCCAGAAACAGTTCAATTGATAGGAGCTGGAACCACCAAGAAAACACTCCTGACCTGGGCAACACTGTCTTCCAGATAAACACTTTTGTTTTAAAAAATCCAAATGGTTTTACAACCCATGACTTCTTTCCAACTCAAAGCTGTAGTTTACTCACAACGCAAATTCTAAACACATAGACTGCTGTATGTACAGATTTGTTGAACCCACAAATAAAAAATATCCTACAAAAAAAAAAAAAAGACAGTGAGTTGAAGCCTCATCATTGTCTAAGTCACACCAGCTGGGCTTGCCTTGGAGACCTGCCCCTGCTCAGTTCCGCTCCTGTTCTTTTGGCCCTGGGTGGCCCCTACTCGTCCTCTGTGGCGGATGTCAGCATCCCCTTGTCGATCAGATGAGACCGCAGCGTGTTGAAGATATGGAGCTGCTGATCTGGCCGTAAGGTCAGGAACTGCTGAATCAGTTTGCTTGGGTTAGGGCCTCTGGAACAGAATGTGAAGAAACAGCACTGAGCTGGGCCCCGGAAGCTTCCAGGGCCTGATTATCCGAGTGACTGCTCTGATCTCTGGATCAGAGAGTTATCTATTAACAGATGGCAGGAGAAGGCCTCAGAAAATCCGTAAGCAGCAACAACTGAAAATTGTATTATTTGGGATGCTTTTCACTGGAACTGAGATGCTGCTAAAATTCTAGAATTGCACCATACTTAAAAATCCACCAACTTGGTTCAGATATAAAGGTACTATACCTGATAAAACTGGCGATGTATACATTGACAAAGGTGGCCATCAGATACTGGCAGTCAAAGCGATCCATGATACCTCCATGGCCAGGAATGGTATTGGCAAAGTCCTGTTAGAGGCAGGGGAAAGACGGGTGAACTTGGGCTCAGCCACTGATCAATCCCAACCTAATGGTCCCACCCCAATGTCTGGCTTCTGTCCTGAGTAGCTGAGGGCAATAGAAGGTGAGAAGTATTAAATCTACTGGTGAGGCTATATTAGGACACAATTTTATTGCATTACAAAATGTTCTTATTTCATTTACTTAATAAAGACAGGAGTCTTGCTATGTTGCTCAGGCTAGTTTCGAACTCCTAGCCTCAAGTGATCCTCCCGGCTTGGCCTCTTAAAATGCTGGGGTTACAGACATGAGCCACTGCCTGGCCCAAAATGTTCTTTTGAAGAAAGCTATTATTAACAAATAAACTGAAAAACAACGATTGCATTTTCCTGAGAATAAAGTATTGTTATTAATTAACTCACCTAAATTCAGTGCATGGGTCAAGATCACACATTAAATGCCAGGGTGTATAGCCCAGTGTTTTGGAGGGAGCAGGGAAGGGGGAGAAAGGCAGAAGATGGGTGAGGAGCGAGTGAGATGAGAGGAACACAAGAGGGTTTTCCTACTTTGATTTTAAAGGCTCGTTTGAATCCACTTGCAAAGAATCCTCCAAAGGGGCCAATGAGCGAGGCAAAGGTGGAGAGGGCGATGCTGTGAATCTGGAAGGGGTACATCCGGACCGTTTTCTGAAAAGAGTAAATGAAGTAAAAGTTAAGGTGCGTACGTGCCCAGTGTTACGGTCTGAGTTGTCAACTCATGTTGAAATTTGACCCCCATTGTAGCCTCACTGGGAGGTGATGCCTAGTGGGAGGTGTTTGGGTCTCAGAGGCAAATCTCTCATAAATGGCTTGGTGCCTTTCTCCTGGTAGTGGGTTCTCTCTGTCAAAAGACGAGATGAGCACTGGCAAATGGGTTGTTATGAAGTGATGAAGCCCCTGGTTTTCCTCTTTGCATGTGTCTGCTTCCACCTTTGACCTTCTCCGCCATGTTACAATGCAGCACAAAAAGCCCTCACCAGAGGCCAGGCAGCAGCCAAAGCCACACTTCTCGCACTTCCCAGCCTGCAGAAACAAGCTAAGTAAACCTCTTTTCTTTACAAATTACCCAGCCCCAAGTGTTCTATCAACACTACATTGTTATAATATACCTATAATATATATAATGTGTAAATATATAATAATGCTATAACAACAGACAGACCAAGACATCCAACCTCATAACTCTTTATGAAACTAATTGCATATATGTAGGTTTTTAAATCAATAAAAGGAGTGAATTTTTCCCGTTTTTGTAAATTTCTATTATCGAAGTTAATGGAAAACATTAAAACATTCTGCATTCAATCTGCTGCAACATGCTGTTTTAGTGGAAGTATATAAAGAAAATCCAGCCTTACACAGATACATAGTTGAAAAGAGTATTTTAGTCGTAGTCTCAGATGGTTTTGGGTATTCTCTGACACTACACCAGAGCTTGACAAGCAGTCATTTCTTGAATATTAGGTGTGATATGGAATCCAGAATTCTATCAATGTACTTTGTTCTCTCTTACATTAAAATCCATTGGTCTATCTTATACTTGAATGTATCTTTTACCCATGTATGACTATATAGCACCGTGTATCAGCCATTTTGAAAATAATGGTTCACTGAGTTATGTAAATCTTCCAAATGTAGACACATTTCATTATACAGTGTCAAATATGTTTGTTTTTCTCATGTGATCAACACACACACACATACACACACACACACACAAAGAATCATCACAGACCTCATCAGAAAAGGCTTTAAGTATTAGGAAGTTGTCAAGTTCACACTGGCAGGTTAAGTTTTCCAAAATTCTAATGTTCATTTGAAAGCCAAATTTTATCCTTGGTAACAATTACTGTCAGTCATTTTTCTTTTTTTCTTTTTTTTATTTTTCTTGAGACAGTCTCACTCTGTTGCCCAGTCTGGAGTGCAGTGGTGCGATCTCGGCTCACTGCATCCTCCGCCTCCTGGGTTCAAGCAACTCAACCTCCCGAGTAGCTGGAACTACAGGCACACGCCACCACGCCCAGCTAATTTTTTGCATTTTTAGTAGAGACAGGGTTTCGCCATGTTACCCAGGCTGGTATGGAACTCCTGACCTCAAGAGATCCACCTGCCTCAGCCTTCTAAAGTGCTGGGATTTCAGGTGTGAGCCACCATGCCTAGCTCAGTCATTTTCTTTAAAGTGATAGGCTCACTTCATTTCTTTTCAAGAAAAATGCCTGCCAAATACCCAAGTCTGAAAAATTATAATTTGTTGGTTCTTTCCAAGTAAAATTTACTTTCTTTTCTAGAAAAAAGCAGCTAATTCAGTTCACAAGTCAAACAACTGCACACCTGCTTTCCCTTTAGGCAAGCAGAAATGTTTTACATACTTTCCATTTCAGTAGAGTATTAAAAAGGTGTGTATACAAAGGTCAAGATTTAACAAAATTAGTAACTTTACTATTTCATAGACATTCATTAGAAGAACTGGCCTGTTGTACTGTGAGTGTGTGGCATTAGGAACCCACTGCCTTAACTCACGTGAAGGCATCAGCAGTTTTAACCACTGTTGCTTTTGCGCCGTATCACAGCAAATGTCAACACAATGAAAAAGGCAAATAATGTCACAGTCTAATTATAAAAGAGTTGTGACCTCACAGACCCCCCACACTACCCCTGCAACTAAAAGGATCCCACAGCCTTCCAGGGATCCACAGAGCACACTTTGAGAACCACTGGTCTAAACGATCTGACGTTGGGGGAAACATCTTCTGCCCATACCCTGACCTGGCGTGAGCAATTCTCCCTCATCCTGGGGCTTACAGCTTTGGGAAGGAGGAAGCTAGCTTTTTTTGGAAGGCAGGTGGTGCAGGGGGATTTCTCTTTGTAGCCACTGTCCACAGAGGCCGCTGACCCCCTGTGAGTGGCACATACCCAGCCAATGACTGACTGGATCACCCCAGGAATGTTGTACTCCTGCAGGCGAAACAGGTCCGAGGGCTCACAGTCCACAGTGAAGCTGTTGGTGTCGTTGTTGTACTCCACAGGGCAGACGAAGCATCTGTACCCGGACATCACATAGGACAGCTGAGAAGGAATAACAGAGAGACTGGCAAGGAGGTAAGTTCCAGCCATCCAGCCTAGACACGGGCACCTGGTTTGGCCATGTTCCTCAGGGTGCCCAGTACCCTGCTAACTGCAAGCTATGTGCTCAGTGGTTCATGTTTTACCATACATATTTTACCTCAATTTAAAAAAAAAGAGGCTCATGACCCATCAAGGTTACACATAGGCACCCAAACACCCAGGCCCCGAAAGAATCTGGGAAAACCTGAAGGGACTGGGTCAAAAAACTATAGGAAGACTCTCCCCATTTGGGGAGCTAGGACCACTTTCCTCGGAATCTCTGAACTCAGTGATAACTGGACAGAGGCCGTGGGGAAGGGGCACAGTGAGAGTCAGACCTCAGGAGGAACAAGGCTGGAAAGCAACAAAGCTGGGCAGGGAGCATGAGGGGCAGTCAGACAGCGCTGAAGAAGGAGGACTGGCCCAGGGGTCAGAAGCACCCACCTCTGGGCAAGGCACATGTAGGAGAAAAGCTGTGTATCTCATCTTCCCTTGGGTGCCCTCACCCTGACCTTGGAACATCAAATGCTTGACAAGAAGGCTACCTGCTGATGTCACCGTGCCTGGGCGTGAGAGGGCACAGAAGGTGCTCTCCAACTGCTAGCACCCTGCCTGAAAGCTGGTGGATGGCTGGCATGGCCAGTGGCCCTCTTCAGGGCAAGGTTGCCATTCAGCAGGACAGAGTCCTGGTCTCCAAAGACACTCTCTAGCTCTGGACAGGCCTTGAAAGGTGGTGTGAGACCTCTGTCCACCCAATCCCTCACACAGCTAGAAGCCACCACCTACCAGAAGGCCAAACACCACAGTAGCAAAGAAGCCCCCAATGAAGCCTTCCCAGGTCTTCTTCGGGGACAGCTGTGGACAGAGAGCAAGTTCTTAGCAAAGGATGTTTTGGTAACTACAGTTTTGGGAACAATAAGTACTTGTTAAGAACCTTTCTTTCATAAAACCCCATTCTCTTAACCATATCACCTTCCAAAGCTCCCCCAAATATGGTTTCCTTGTTCCCTACCTTATACCCTCCCTTTGGTTCCCTTTCTGTTTCAGTCATTCGAATAGTTTTATATTAGAAAACTATATACTAATTAAATGACTACACTCAAATCCAGATCGAAGTCCCAAAAAATGTGTCCCAAAAAGAAGATTATATAAATCTGTAAAAATATTTTCCTTTCTTCTTTTTTCAAGACATGATCTTGCCCTGTCAGTCAGGCTGGAGTGTAGTGGCACTATCACAGCTCCCTGAAGCCTCAACCTCCTGGGCTCAAGAGATCCTCCCATCTCAACCTCCCAAGGAGCTGGGACTACAGGTGCATGCCACCACCATGCCCAACTAATTTTTAAATATTTTAGTAAAGACACGGCCTATGTTCCCCAGGCTGGTTTTGAACAACCTGGCCTCAAGCAATCCTCCTACTTCAGCATCCCAAAGTGCCAGGATTACAGGCATGAGCCACCATGCCCAGCCTATTTTCTTTATTATCTTTTTTTTTTTTTTTAATCAGTTGTCAGTGTTTTCCTTTGGCCTTTCTCCAGGATGACATGAAGACATGGTCACAATACAACACAGGAAGATTTCTTCTGTCTGCCAGGCTGATCTACTCACATTGAGAGCACCACCCTCCCGCTCACAGTGGTATTTCACATTAGGGTAATCCATTTACCTTGATAAGTGGGGTCCGACCAAAGAAAAAGCCAAACATATAGGCCATGATGTCATTACAGATCACACAAGATATGGGGACAATGAACCTAAAAATGAACCAAAGTAAGGATCAACTCAACCAAGGTGACAGTGCCTCGAGAGTACACAAAACAGTGCCATTCTTAAATTCCAGTACCAAAATCACCCATAAAATTCTGATAACCCACTAAGGAGTAAGTTAAAAACATAAAAATACCAAAAAAGTCATACCTAGCACCTGACACAAAGTACACATTCAAGTGTTTACTGAATGACTACTGAATAAGTGGAGATTGCAAACTAAAAGGTCATTTGTCCTTATGATAAAGAAATATACATAAACAATGATAGAAATTTAATTTTAAAAGGAACAAAAAGTTTTCCTTCTTTCCCCCATCCCTATCTCCATTCCCAAAAATAACCACTTCTAATCGTTTCTCATTTTTATTTTCCTAGTGGTTACCTCCCCGATTCTAAATAATATGCTTTAATGTCTAATTACTGACTTTTTTTGCTGTTTATTACTAGCTCTAGTAGGCCCTACCTTTCCCTAGGACTGTATTGAGCATGAAACCCCAACACGCACAGCTAGATTTCCTCTCTGCCCACTCCCTGCTGTTCCAGTCATCCTCACTATGAAAGAGGTGGTTTCCACACTTGCACTCTCTCTCTCCTCACTCTTCCATGCTGACACTTTTTAAAAAGTTCTTTGATTACTGTTTTTTGTTTTGTTTTGTTTTTTTGAGACAGAGTTTCTCTCTGTTGCCCAGGCTGGAGTGCAGTGGCACAATCTCGGCTCACTGCAACCTCCACCCCCAGGTTAAGTGATTCTCCTGCCTCAGCCTCCCGAATAGCTGGGATTACAGGCGCCTGCCACCATGCCCAGATAATTTTTTGTATTTTTAGTAGAGACGGGGGTTTCACTATGTTGGCCAGGCTGGTCTTCAACTCCTGACCTCATGAAATTTAATTGTAAAAGGAACAAAAAGTTCTCCTTCTTTCCCCCATCCCTATCTCCATTCCCAAAAATAACCACTTCTAATCATTTCTAATTTTTATTTTTCTAGTGGTTACCTCCCCAATTCTAAATAATATGCTTTAATTATTTAATATTTAATTATTTAATATCCAGCCTCCCAAAGTGCTGGATTACAGGCATGAGCCACCACACCCGGCCTTTTACCTTTTCACTAAGATCACCTAGCTGCTTCGGTTGGCCAGTGGTTTCTATCAATGCTGACAGAGGAAACCACTGCATTTTTAGAATAAAATCCACTCAGTATTTGCATATTATTCCCTTGACACACCGCCAGATTCTATTTGCTAATATTTTATTTAGAATGATTTATCTATAATCGCAGCAGAAATGGGGTTATCATTCCTGCTTCTCTCTCCTCATCAGCTTTGGTATAAAGGTTAGATAAAACTCAGCTGTTAACCCATTTGGTCCTGTTTCTTTTTCCAGATATGGAATCTTACATAATTTTCAAAGCTCATTTAAAGTTATTGATCTATTCACATTTTCTTCTTCATGACTTTTAGTACACATTTTGCCAAGAAATCATGAATATTTCCTCTAGGTTTTCAAATCTGTTGCCATACATGTTGCATTGTCTTTGCGTCTTTAAATATTCCTGTACCTGTTAGCCTAGAACAGTGGTTCTCAGAGCATGGGTCCTGTCCAGCAATGTCAGCACCACCCAGAAATGTACTAGAAATTCAAATTCTCAAGCCTACCCCAGATCTAATGAATCAAAAACTCAGAGGTGGAGCTCAGCAATCTGTGTTGTAAGGAGCCCTGCAGAGGATTCTGATGTGGCTCAAGGTAACAGCTACTGGCTTAGAGGGTATCTGTACATGAGAAACATTCACAAAATAAAAGGGAAAATCCACCTCCCAACTCTCACCAGATCATTCCTTCAAATAGGTTGTGGATAACAAGATGTGACTGTGTTACAACAATCAGCAGCGTCACATGGGTCCAGCCAAACTGCAAAAAAAGAAAAATAAACACTACTTACCAGTTTACCTTGAAAGTAACTTCAAAGAACAATCAGTACCAAATAGAAAATTGCTGAGAAACAGGTAGGAAAAATATCTGCTTTTGTATCTGACTTATTGAAAGTGAACAGGTAAGATCAGGCTTCTGAGAGTAACACTTTGTCCCCCACAGCCCACTAGTGAGTGAGCTCTCCCATGCTCTGAAAGCCTGGGTATTTTTCATTTTCTTAGTAGTTATTGAACACCTGGAGCACTCACAGAGGAGCTGTTCTCTAGTGAGTCAGGGAATAAGCGGTAGCAAGTGATGTACCAGACAGGACATCTGCGGGCAATGTCTGAAGCTTCAGCTTGTGCTTTCTCTGGAACCCACCTCAGAGTCCTAGTGGAGAGGCTGCTTAAAGTGTAACTTAAGTAACAGTGACTGGGTCTAAGTCAATGTAGAGTCGTTAAACCTAAATGGGCATTCTTCCTTCATGCTCTAGATCCTTACAGATCAGACCATGTTCCTGAGTTTTGATTTGTCACAGAAAGCATGAAAGGCTTGTTGAGTTCCTGAAAAACTTTATTTAAATCAAGAATTCTGACACACACACATGCATTTCCTTTACCATGTAGAACTGCAGTCGATAATGCTTCTTGACCAGACTCAGTACAAACATGCAGAATCCTAGTTTGAGGTGGGAGGAGAAAAGAAAAATGAATTATGTTCTGCATTTATCTTTGCCCTTCTTTAGCTATGTTAAGTAGTTCTTTGGCTGATTTATTCCCAGCAGCTAACCAGTGCACAATGTCAAAGCCCAGGGGAGGAAAACAGTATCCAGATAAACAGTCACAAGGAAAAAATAACTCCTCCAAAACAGTAAAAGGAAGGCAGTATTTTATAGTCATGCAGACCACACTAAACTTAGAACATGGTTCATCAGATAGGAATGTTTATTCCTAGAACAGGGACCAGCAAACAGGGGTCAGGCCAGCTGCTTGTTTTTATTAATAAAGTTTTATTCAAGCACAGTTATGTCCATTTGTTTACATATTGTCTATGGCTGCTTTCAAGCTACAACTCAACAGAACTGAGTATAGTCATGCTCTGAACAACGAGGTTCTGGTCAACAACAGACCACATATACAACAACGGTTCCCTAAGATTATAATACCCATTAGATTGTAATACCGTAAGATTTACTAATTACCATATAGTACCTTTTATATGTTTAGATACCCAAATACTTACCATTGTGATATAATTGACTACAGTATTTATTTAGTAAAGTAACATGCTGTACAGGTTTCTACTCTAAGAGAAATAGACTACTACACATTATAGCCTAGGTGTATAGGAGGCTATATCATCTAGGTCTGTGTAAGTTCACTCTACGATGTTTGCACAATGACAAAATCACAACAATGCATTTCCCAGAACGTAGCCCATCATTAAACGACGCATGGCTGTAATTGCAAGAAAGACCCTATGGTCCCCAAAGCCTAAAATATTAACTGTTTGGAACTTTAATAAAAAGTTTACAGGCTGCTGTGCCTACAGAGTAGCAATTCTTTTATTCCTTTACTTTCTTAATAGACTCGCCCCAAACTCTTTCTTGTATGAGATCCAAGAACACTCTCTCGGGGTCTGGGTCTGGACCGCTCTCTGGTAACATGTCTGGTGAACCCTAAAGGGACAATACTGAGGAGACCTCCCCCAACCCAAAGGAAATAGACTGCAGCACTGATTGGCTGACTTTTTTTTTTTCCTGCAATTTAAACTGCTTGTTCCTGTGAACCAACCAGTGATCTCTGGCTGCAGCTCAGAAGAAACAAGAGGGACTGGTGATATAAAAATCTGAATCAGTATTCTAATTCTGGGAACATATTGCAATCAGCTACCAACCCCGTATCAGCTTGGTTCCAACAATTACCCAGTTCATGGAAAGCCTTCTTTAGTTTACTTGGGATAGTTTTGCTTATTTTGCTTTACTGATATGGAATATATTGCTGTTGTACTATTTGTGTAGGAATGCAGGATAAGCTTACTCAATGTTCTCTTAAACACTTACAAAATCTTGCAGATATCACTTTGTGTCCCAGTTGTGAATGGCCCTCACCATACTGACACTTTCTGACTGAGCTCCTCTCTATCCTGAATACGAGAGACCTCGATAGGTAGGCAGGAATATCATTGCCCCTAATCAGCCTGAAGAAGTTACAGAGGATGGATCTTCATCCCTCTGCAACCCTTAGGATTAAGGGTTCTCTTATAAAACTGATGGGGGAAATGTCAGAGGCATTTGAACTAGAGTAACTCCATCTTGAATAGCAGCTGGGTAAAATCAGGCTGAGACCTACGGGGTCTGCATTCCCAGACTGTTAGGCATTCCAAGTCACAGGATGAGACAGGAGGTCGCACAAGATACAGGTCATAAAGACCTTGCTGAGAAAACAGTTTGCAGTAAAGAAGCCAGCCAAAACCCTCCAAAATCAATATGGCAAAGAGAATGACCTCTGATCGTCCTCATTGCTACACTCCAATCAGTGCCATGGCAGTTTACAAATGCCATGGCAATGTCAGGAAGTTACCCTATATGATCTAAAAAAGGGAGACATGAATAATCTACCCTTTGTTTAGCATATAATCAAAAAATAACCATAAAAATGGGCAACCAGCAGCCCTTGGGGCTGCTCTGCCTATGGGGTAGCCATTCTTTTATTTCTTTACTTTCCTAATAAACTTGCTTCCTCTTAAAAAAAAAAAAAAAAAAAAAGGTTTGCCAACACCCGTCCTAGTATTCACAGGGCTGGGAGAAGAGGGATCCACATGGTATAGGGTCAAGACCACCTTTTTATCTCTCTCACAGTGACCTAGATGGTAGCAAAACATGTCTGCAGACCCCTTCTTCAGGAAGGAAAGGAACCTTTACTCATAAATATGCAGAGCCCCTCAAAAGCAGTCCTGCCCAGAAATAAGTATGTCCTGCTGTTCCAGACCCCTGACCTCCCACTGTGGAAGGCTGCTTTCGGCGTCTGCAGCATACTCTCTGAATATCCTCAATGGCAGCAGACCCCTTCGCAGATTTTATATTTTAATAGTCAGGTGTCATTCACAGAAGTATTGCTATCAAGCTGATGAAAAATAGGTCAGACTGACGTTGCGGACAGAAGAAATTTTTCTGTACCTCAAACTAGCTTTGAAGGCAGCTATGAAAAATTATCAGCATTATTAGAATTAGTACATGGCCTCAGCTGAGTTTATATTAATATAACGCTTTAATGTTTGTGAAGTTTTAAAGTATTTGATTTAATCCAGAGTAACCCTGCAGTTTTAGCTCTAGATTACAAAACAGCTGAGACTCAGAAACATTAGGTTCCTAGCTCCCTCTGAGGTTGCAGTCTTTTTAAGCCTAAATCCAGTAAAATTTCCACCATGCTACAATGTCACCCAAGGCGGTCTCCTAAAACGACTCCCCTAAAGATGGTAAGTTCCTAGATGATTTTTGTTTCAGTCCCACTGCAGAATCTTTGCCAACAGGAGAGTCAAGACAGGACCATGCTGTGCTGTTCCTCAATGGTGGCTGAAACACAGGGGCAGGTGGCACAGGCTACAGTCCCGCCCCCACACTCCGTTTCTCTTAAAAGAGCTCCTACAAGGGCAGGCGTGTGGCTCACACCTGTAATCCCAGCACTTTGGGAGGCTGAGGCGGGCCAATAAGTTAAGCTCAGGAGTTCGAGACCAGCCTGGCCAACATGGCAATAGCCTGTCTCTACTGAAAATATAAAAATTAGCTGGGCATGGTAGCATGCACCTGTAGTCCCAGCTACTTTGGGACCTGAGGTGGGAGGATCACTTGAACTCGGGAGGTAGAGGTTGCAGTGAGCTGAGATCATGCCACTGCACTCCAGCCTGGGTGACAGAGTGAGACCCTGTCTCAAAAAAAAAAAGGAAAGACCTGCTACAGCCTGACATAAAGCATCAGCTCTGCTCCCCTGCATGGTCAGAGTTAATGTCACAAAACTGTACACTAACCAAGAAATTCCCCAATTCCTACTTGACAGACATACAAAAACAATACAGACACAAGAAGTGGTGAACTGCTTAATGCATACCTATTAGATAGAGAGTAAAGGAAATGAACCGGTGGTATTTACTGAGAATCCGCAAAGGCTCTTCTCTCTGGACCAGGGTGAAGAAGTAATCCGTCACTGTCTCACCATAGAAGAAATAGTTTACACACAGGAGAAAGTACCTGTAAATGAAGACAGGTCATTGCCGCGGGGAGCACCCTTGCCTTTACAGCAAGGCAGTCAGACATCCCAGAGGAGGGGACAGAGGGCAGCAGAATACCCTCCACCCTTGAGCCCCCCAGCACAGCTCACAGAGGGACAGGCAGACCACAGTTTCCTGCTCTCTGGTGACACCACAGGTGAGAAATTTATCTAGAAACAGACAGCAGCTTTCATTCACTCTCCATTTCTCCCAAACTTGAGACTCCATTTTTGCCCCTTTTGTAGCATTCCCATACCTAACTGAGGGATCCTTGAACCATACGACCTTCAAAAACACGCCCCATCCTGCTTCCCCAGTCTCGTTTCCACTCTTCCCAACAGGAACTCCTTCACTCCTATCACAATGGTTTCTTCCAGCTATGCCGCCTGTCTGCTGTTCTCCTGCCTTCTTCCTGCTCCTGACATTCTCTTTGCATCTCCATTTTTTCACTCCTTGCTCAAATGCCATTTTATTCATAAAACTTTGCATGACCTAACATGACATCTGCCTCCCCTGCATTTATTTCTATAGCAAGTAATATGTGATTATCTGACTAAGCAATTCATGATGCATCTCCGTCTCTGAAGCCTGGCTCTGACACAGACCTTCCGCTAGCGTTAACTCTTCACTTGTGTATCCTCTCTCCTCAACTGGCGTTCATGAGAAGAGAAACCATCCCTTGCAGCCTCCACAGTACTGCCGAGTATGGGACTGTGCAGCCACCACTGCAAACCCCCAGCAAGGATCCTGAGACAGAGAAGAAAGTGGAGAGCTTTTCTTTCCCATTCTTTTTTTAAAATTATGAAGTATAAAAACTTCATATTTCGTTTCTTTTCTGTTACATGGAAAAAGCTTTCTTTGTAAAGTGACCACAGCCAGGAGTCAGGCCTTCTGAGTATGTTAACAAAACGCAAAACACTGCTTTCCAGCTAAAGAACAGCCGCAACAGGGACCTGCATCTTAAGCCACGAGGCAATCACAGTTCCATCTGGAGGCTGGGAGGCAGCCCATGCTGTTGAGTGACAGGAAACACCTCAGGAAGTGGGTGCCCAGCCTACATCTGAGCACATCGGCTTCCTTGACGGTGACCAGGTTGCTGGGGCAAAAACCACTACTCTCCAGCCGGCTAAGTCATGGCCGCAACCCCTGTATCCCCCGCACAGTGGGGTGAGAAGGTCCACATTTGCCCCAGGTCTTCTCAGCATTGTGCAGTGCTCTGCTCAAAAGTCACCACCTGAGAATACTATAGCCAATAAAGCAGAGAGTTTCAGATCAGAAAGGGGTCTCAGACATGTACTACAGGTTTTTCTTTCGTTTTTGCTTTAAGAAAGCTGAGTCCTAAGAAACAGAGAAAGCCAACTTTCCCAGCAGAGCCCAGATCCCATGCATTCAGTCTCACTCCTGTCCACTCTGGCACTCAAAACACCTCTGATGAAGTAGGGCTCAAACACCAGTCTGGAAACCACAAAGTCTCAACCATCTGTCTTAGATATAAGGAAACCAATTTCCAGGGATAACAAGCAAAGCCGGCAGCAGAACCTAACAACTTCCAGACAACTCTAGTGGGATGCTGAGATATGACAGCATGAAAAATATACTGATCTAGAAAAACGGGATCATCATGCAGAGTTTAAGGAATCCAAATACCGAGGCAAACACAGTCACAGAATACAGCCCATCTGGTTTCTTCTCAGGAAGAGTCCAGACTTCAAGTAACTATTAAAGACTAATCCAAGGCCAACCACACAGTCTGGCCTATGAAATACTCAGGTCTCAAAGGCACTGTGCAAGTCTGCAGCAATCACCTCCTTTTTTCTGCTAACATTCTCTTACCCATTTCTTTACTCGTTGCTCAAATGCCATTTTCTTCATAAAACTTTGCATGACCTAACATGATATCTGCCTCCCCAGCATTTATTTCTATAGCAAGTAATAGAAATACCCACCATCACTGTAAATACCTGCCAAAAAGCACATCATCCAAATTCTAAGGGCCTCTGTTAGGCGGAGAGCTTACCAGCTGAGGGTCCTGAACCAGGGCAGATCATAGGAGTGGTAGACGTTGTAGCCAATAGTGATTATCTCGTGGAAACACTTAATCTGAACACACATCACCTGTGGGACACAAAACATTCACTGACACCCCAATTCTTATGATTTTTGGAAATGGAAACCAACAGGTCATGAGCCTTCCAGAAAATCCATTGTACTTAAGAAAAATATCAGGCTTCCAATGGTTCTGCTTGCTTCCTCTTCCTTCCTCTCTCACACCATCCCACAGAGCAGTGCAGCCCTCTGTGTAACAGGGAGTAGATCCAATTTTCCACTCACAATAAAATACACACCCTGATATTTCAATTAACTTTTTTATTTTTTAAGACAGGGTTTCACCATATTGCCCAGGCTGGTCTTAAACTCCTGGGCTCAAGCAATCCACCTGCCTCAGCACCCCAAAGTGCCAGGATTACAGGCGTGAGCCACTGTGCCCAGCCAAAAAGACTTTTTTTTAAAGTAGAGACGAGGTCTCACCTTCTTTCCCAGGCTGGTCTTGAACTCCTGGGCGATCTTCCCCACTTGGCCTCTCAAAGTACTGGGATTACAGGTGTGAGCCGCCATGCCCGGCCCTCAATTAACTTTCTATTCTAGAACCTCCTTTTTAACTTTTTATTCTAGAACCTCCGAGGATTCAACCAATCCATTCTCCTTTTGACTTTGAGTACTTTAAAAGTCTCATCTGCTTTGCTCACATGCAGCTGATGGTCACCTGACCCTGTCCAGGACAGTGGGAAGACAGAGAGAGCAGCTCTGTGGACTGGGATTTCTTAATAAAGGCTCTACACCCAGGAGGGAGGCCCCACAAAAACAAGAAACAAAACCAGGAGTCACATAGAGACATGGCTAGGGTAAAATTTTACAGAGTTGGAATAATAAAGTCGGTTGTTTGTTTTGAGACAGAGTCTCACTCTGTTGCCCAGGCTGGAGTGCAGTGGTGTGATCTCAGCTCACTAAAACCTCTGCCTCCTCGGTTCAAGCGATTCTCCTGCCTCAGCCTCCTGGGTAGCTTGGATTACAGGTGGCTGCCACCACGCATGGCTAATTTTTGTATTTTTAGTGGAGACAGGGTTTCACCATCTTGGTCAGGCTGGTCTCGAACTCCTGACCCTGTGATCCGCCCGCCTCCACCTCCCAAAGTGCTGGGATTACAGGCGATAAAGTCAGTTTTTTAAATGAAGATACATCTTCAACCATAAACAACTAGCCTACATCAATGGCCCTCCAGGTGGCTACTGAAAAGTGGGAAGTCACAGATGTTCTATGGCAGAGGTTTTCTGAGCAGCCTGGACCCCTGTCAGTTCCCCCAACCAACCCAATACCTGGCACTTAAGACAACCAGGGCCGGGCGCGGTGGCTCAAGCCTGTAATCCCAGCACTTTGGGAGGCCGAGACGGGCGGATCACGAGGTCGGGAGATCGAGACCATCCTGGCTAACACGGTGAAACCCCGTCTCTACTAAAAAAAAATACAAAAAACTAGCCGGGCGAGGTGGTGGGCGCCTGTAGTCCCAGCTACTCGGGAGGCTGAGGCAGGAGAATGGCGTGAACCCGGGAGGCGGAGCTTGCAGTGAGCTGAGATCCGGCCACTGCACTCCAGCCTGGGCGACAGAGCGAGACTCCGTCTCAAAAAAAAAAAAAAAAAAAAAAAAGACAACCAGGCCTGCAGCAAAAACTGAAAGGAAAACTAAAATAGTATGAAATGGCACTTACGATTATCATTAAAACCATTGGTCCCAGGTAAATGATGATGAAGAAAAATGCAATCATGGCCAAAGTCAGGATGCCTCTCACCCACCAGTTCTTCCATCTATGTCAGAGTAGGGGAAGGAGAAAACACCAGTTAAAAACACCAATGCACAAACTCAAGGGACATGGATCTTTCTGAGATTTGAGGGCCCTGAGCTCAGTCCTTTCCAGATTCACCTTGACGGAAGCACCAGCCACATGCTGGCAGGAGCAGGGCCACAGTACCAATGCCTCAGCCACAACCAAACTTGGCAGAAAAATACACCTAGCTTATATCTTAAAGAAGGTATCAGGCAAAAAACAAACAAACAAACAAAAAACCAAGGGAAATGTAGTACCCTCTGCTTCTGTATCCACTTGCATGGTTTCTACAGCTGACTATCTGAAGAAAAAAAAACTTTTTTTCCGACAGCAGGATCCTACACTGTACTGCCCTGAATAATTATGGGAACAACAGTAACATTATGCAATGATAATAACAGCTACCACAAATATGCATAAGGTAATTTTATGAGGACTTTACATATATTAACTCCTTCAATCCTCAACACACTTCGCTTTTATAGACGAAGAAACAGAGGCACAGGTTGAATAGCTGGCAAACAGTAAAGCTGGGATCTGAATCCAGGGGTCTGGCTGCAAAGTCCACGCCCTTAACCACTGCACAATTCAGACTCCCAAGGGCACAGCTGGAGGCACACATAGGAACATTGAGATAATGCTTTGGGGTCTTATAAGTTGTTTTTGATCTACTCACATAGCTGTGTTAAAAGAACTAAGTTCTCAAGGGCCAAAAGTTTTAACTAGATTCACCTAGGTTAAATGTTTCCCAGTTCTTCCTGGAGAATTTAAGGAATTGTTCACAATGGATGTGGGAGAGAGAAACTAAACTGAACTGGATACATGGACTCCTCAGTGAAAAGCAGCCTTCCATTAATCATAAACCCAAGGCCGGTTTCCTGTGCTGTGCAGTGTCTGCTGACCTCACCCACCTCCATCCCTCCTGTCCCCTCTTCCTCTTTGGACTGCACTTCCTAGTCCAGTCTGGAGCACCCTTCCAGGGCCAGATCCTTCCAGCCTTGGTTGCCCTCCCCTCCTGGTCACTGTGCTCACTGCCACCGCTAAGCACTAGATTACACTCAATGGAGCCTGGAGCAGCGGCATGGGAGGCTGAGGCAAGGGAGCAGGCCTGCTCTGCAAGACCACGGGCTCTCTGCAGGCTCTTCCAGGGCACTTGGACATGGTGCAAAGCCCCCAACAAGCACCTGCCAGGTTACCTTGAAGACAAGTTGGAAAGGGCCCTATTGAGGACCTCCGGGGTATCATCTGCAGAGACTGGCAGGGGTGCAGATTCTGCCCGGCTTTCACTGTCCGATGCAGTCTCTCCATCTACCTTTGCTTCTGACTCTGACTCCTATGTGGCAGAAATATAGAAGAGAAAAAGGTCAAAAGTGCTGAGTCGACCATTGAGAAGTCTATGCTTGTCATGAGAGATATATGGGGAAAGACTCCAAACAGGGCCTAAGAACCTGGCACAGTCAGGTGATGGGACCGACAGGACTAGCAGCAATCCTGACACTATTGTGACATGTGCCGAGGTGGCCAGCCGCACTCTGCTGGAAGAGAGGTGTGCATCTGCACCATGTACCATCTGCTCAACTGCAGAGGACAGATCCAGAAGACAGAACATGGCTCCTTTGTATCCAAAGAATGCAAAAGGGAGGCAGGGACTGGTTTTACCAGGAGGTTATCCCTGAGCCTGCTAGGGCAGTAAATGGCACTGACCAGGCTCTCTCAGGGGAAGCCAGGTAGCGTGAGCTATTGCCCCGGTAGACCCATTAATGTCAACATGCCCCAAGTCCACAGTGTTATTTCTGGACTTCACTAGAGCACTCTGTGAGGTCAATCACAGTCAGTGTGGACGACGAACCAGACAGCCTACTCCAGCCAATGCTTGAGCCAGGACTGGTACACCTCAGTCCTTTCCCTGCCACCAGGCCCTGGGTGTCAAAAGACCCGAAGGAACTCACCCTGTTCCCAGCCTGGGTGAGGGAACCAGAGCCATGCCGGCAGTAAGCTCTTTACCCAAAGTATCAAGGGACGGGATATTCTGAATCCTAGGAATCATCCTACTACTCAAGTCTTTTCTTTCATAAGGGAATTTAGAATAGCTGCTATGAGAAGAGGTGGAGGAGAAATTAAATCACTTAGAGTAACAACACTACTTAGTATCTGTATAGCATGCACGGTCTGAAGAGCCTTTCCCATGCCTGCAAGCTTCAGAGCAGTACTGGGAGGAAGGGAAAGGACAGAAGCCCCATTTACAAATAAGAAACAGGATCTGGGAAGTTCAACATGTAGCCCAATGTCTCCTATTAACCCAGGTCCTCTGACCTCCCTGATGATTGATAAATACATGGAATTGAGCACTGTTTCACATGTTCATTGGCCATTTGGATATCTTCTTTTGTCAAGTGTTTTTCAAATTATTGGCGAGTTTTTCTCGGAGTTTTCTGCCTTCCTTTTTTTATTGATTTGTAGTGGTTTATGTGCTCCAGATTTGAGTACTTTGTGTTACCAATATGTTCTCTCAGACTGCTCTAACCCCCACCTTCACCTCAGGCAAGGTTAGACACTCCAGTTATTTGCTTTCTTAACACTCGGACCTTCTCCCTCTCAGCGCTGGCCACAATGGGGACTTTCATAAATGTCTCCTTGGCTGACAATAAACTCCTTAAAGACAAGAACATAACTTCTTGTTCTCATTATCCCCATGCGTGGCACACAGCAAGACACTAATGGATGGAAGGAGAAGAGAGGAATTAGGTCCAGGTGTGTAAAGAAAAACCCAGCTCCTGCCCTCAGGGAGACAGCTCTTTCTAAATTAATTTACAACTGTGACAAGACAGAGGGCCTTAACTAGTGCAGATTAGCAAAACAGAAACACAAAACAGATTAGCAAAACAGAGGGCCTCGCCTAGTGCAGACTGCTGATAAAAAAGAGACAGCTGGCTTTGGTAAAGGCCTGATAAAGACGCCTCATCATTAGGATCCGAGAGGAAGAGCCACAGCTTCTGACAACAGTGACTGCTCCCTACTCTGCCACAGCCGAGCCAGGTGGCTCTGGATAAGTCATCCAAGTGCCTCTATACTTTGGCGTCTTCACCTCATAAAAGGGGCCTATTAAGGTAAGGACCCTCCTTCCAGTGGGGATTCCTTGAAGAGGTATAACCGAACTCTCACCCGGAGCTGTGTCCCAGTACACCACTCCAGAGGTTCTGAAACACAGTAAGGTCTCCAGAGTCGCCCCTCTCCAGGGAGACTAAATGAAGACGAAGCATTCAGAACAGCTGTCCAGTCTTTATTTCAACATTGACACCCACACACCATCGGCAACCACCAGTTGCCAGTAATATTACGGTAATCATTATGAGTTACAAGGTAATGATGCTGCCTGATTATCTGGCTCTGACCTCTAAAATCTCGGGCTTCAAAATGCTAGCACCTGGACCCCACCGAGACTCCCACAGATGCATTCCAAGAGCCTCTAGAAGCTGCAGGGACTGTGCTCCAGCACAGCAGGCGAGAGGGCACTCACACACAGAAAGCTCCGCACAAGGTTATTTTTAACTTATCCATCCTGTTGTCAAGGAGACTCACAAAGGCTGCTAGTTCCCCAGGCAGGGAAGGACAGGAACGGAACCCAGGGAGCGTCCTGTGAGGGAGGAGCAGGCAGCTGCAGCTCCGTGCTAAGAGCCTCTCTGGATTTCCCGTTAGCCCAGCACTGCATCCTGCAACACTGTCAGACCTGACTCCTCTCCTTCCTTGTAGGAAGGGGTGAAGTGAAGAGGGGTATCCGGAAGCAGGGAGTAGTAAAAGGAGATAGAGAACTGTTACAAAGATACCGCAACTATTGTTACCAAGACCTCAGAGGGACCGATCTGAACAACTAAGAAATGAAGTAATCACCTGAACAAACAAGGCTGAAAGAGATTCACTTTCTAGGTTTCCCCTGCCTTTAAGTGAGTAACTCCAGGTTCCCTGGGCCTCACCTGGGCCTACTAAGGAAGCATCCTCTGAGCAGACCAACACAGACCACGCTCTCCCAAAAGCTGAGATAGAGCCGAACATGTGCCAAGGGCAAATCCCTGTGAGGGGGGAAACTGCACAGCCTGGGGAAGACACAGAGGAGGAGGGGGGTTCAGGTCAGCCAGCCACCCAGCTCCTGATGTCCTGTGGATGCCAAAGGGAACAGAAACGAGAGAACGTGGGGGTCTGCAGTCTTCTGGCTCCTCCCCACCCCGTGGACAAAGGCATTCTGCTCGGGGAAACAACTGCTCACACCTGGGAAAAGGAAGCTGAGTGCCAGCAGCAGCTTCCACAGAGGGTCCGGAAGAAGGCAGGACCTGGAACCCATGCTCCTTCCCACAAGAAAGGTGGTACATTCTGAACATGTTCATCAGTTTGCTCCTCTGGGGCACAGCGAGGCGGGAAGATGTCAAGGAAAACTTTCTGCAGAATGAGGCAGCAGCCAGTCTAGGAAAGCAAGGCCCAGGGCCGGCTCTGACACTCATGATACGCAGCACAGGCCTCCATCCTCTGGTCTTCAGTGGGGAAAGGACTCCCTATCTCGGAAGGTTGTTGGGATGACCAATGTGACCTCAATGAAAGACTATGAAAACTATAAAGTACTGAATAGCAGCAGGTGCCTGCCGCACTCCCCACAATAGCCTAACCACAGCACACAGGACAGAAGCACGAGAGCCTAAAACACCCACTCCAGACAAGCTGGACACCCTTCCCAAGGAGAGCATCAGGCCTTGCTGGGGCCAACTGCTAATAAATGATCTGGGCACAGCATTTGCCTACCTTGCTTCAAGCTCTTTCACACCGGCAGCCCCGACTCAAAACTGTGTAAGTGGTGTCTGAAACACAAGGGCTAACCATTAAAGCAACAGTCCATGCTAGTAGACTCTGAAGCTGAACCATCTGCCAAAGTGTGGGAGGAAATCTTAGGACTTGTTCCTACTTACCTCATTCTTTTCTTTCCCATGTATGCTTTGTAATAGGCGTTATCAGGACACATGTATATGTTCATGAGTGTAAATTGGGACACATGGTAAAAACACCATATACATGTCAGACATGGCGGTGTGTCAGGGGCCAGGAGTTACCTGTTCACCACTGCACTGAGCGGTGTCTGGAACATAGCAGGTGCCCCAAGATTTGCTGAACTGATGAGCTAATTAATTCTACTTGACCTATGATGGACCAAAGTGTCCAGACTACACTGAGATATGATAGCACACACTTTCCTGCTCGTGTGCCTGACTGGTGCCCCTGCAGCAGCCCTGGAAGCAGGACCAGACCAGCATCCACTCCTGCCTTGCTCCTGGTGGGAGGCGAGACCAGCACGGCAGGGAGAGGCTGCCATGCCTCTTCCGACTCATAGCCACCCAGCTCCCAGGCACCCCTCCTCCTTCCTTCCCTTTCGATCCCGAGGGCCAGGAACAGAGGCCAAGTGGGGCAGACCCTCTCAGGTTCTCTCTCAACCACCGCCCATCTTCCCACAGTTCCTCAGCCACTTCCCAAGGGGGCTGTAGTGCTAGAATAAACAGGAAACAAGAGTGATGTTTTAAAGGAAGGGGGAAAGCTCCTCTGAGGGCCCACCCCTTTTGGTTTACATAGACCCTCTAGGGAAAGGCAGAAGCACTTAGGATGAGGGACACATATAGGGCACTAGGGGCTCAGTAAGAGCCATTAGCATTTTTGGAGAAACTCATGCTCAGAAAGCTTCTCCACCAACTGCCCAGAAGCTTCCATACACACAGCACTGACTCGAAGATCAGAACAGAACAGAAGCAAGAGAAGGCAGTGAGGGAGGACCAGAGGGAGCAGTGGGTGGGAGGGGATGTTCCTGCCTCAGCCTCCCAAGTAGCTAGGATTACAGGTGTCCGCCACCACGCCTGGATAATTTTTATCTTTTTAGCAGAGATGAGGTTTCGCCACATTGGCCAGGCTGGTCTTGAACTCCTCACCTCAGGAGGAAGGAAATTTCATTAAAAGGCGGAGTTCAAGGTACTGGTGGGTTATACCTCCAACAACTCTGCCTTTCCCACTGACACTGCATTCAAATTCACAAGTTTCACTGACTAACTCCGTAACTTACACAACTTTTTGCATTGCTTTATATACAAATTATCAACTTTCTCCTGGAAGAAAGTCATTAGTCTAAGCCTAACCTTTCTGCTGAATACTATGGCCTCCATCTTCTAGATCAAGCCCTGTGGCCAGTTGCCAGGGAGGGCAACACCCCACTCACACAGACAGGATCCTAGGAGAGAAATTACCAGAGATGGGTCTATCCTTAATAAGCATCCTTAATAAGTGTCAGGGACTTAGGTGGCCATCTCA